ATTTAACAAATAGATTGGATGTAAATTCACAATGCAGTGGTAGAAAGAGAGAATAATCTAAAAAAATGACAACGAACCCATTTTATATGGTCAAACCAAAAATGGAAATGGCAAGGAAATTGTGTTTTAATATCTTTGATAAAATCAATCTCATAGTTGCTCTGCCTAATCAATGCATAAGAAATAAGAGTTTAAGGATAAGGCAAATAAATGTGCTTACGACAAGTAAACGGAGGCTTGACTGCAACCAACAATGGAGGAGACAAAGGAGAATGCGTCCGAGAACAGAGGCTCGAATCTTTCTGAGAACGATGAACGGTGACAATCAAGCCCTAGGGGTGGGCTACGACTGCATTTCACGTAAAAATGGAGTTTTGAATGTTATTTCGCGTGAAATGGCGGAGGAAGGGAGGATTTCTGCCGGAATTCCACTTAAATCGGCAAACTTTTCAGCGGTGATTCCAACGAGCCATGGTCCACCAGAAATAGCTATTCTTCCTGTGATGTTTATGGTAGAGTAGGATTTGATTTTAGGACTTGTTAAAGATGGAGGCTTATGCCTTGTCGAAAGTCATGGGTGTTTTTTTTTTTTTTAGTTTTCATTTTCCCCATTTATTTTTGCGAGTTCTCATAGTTCACCACTCATGCGAGTGATGATTTTGCTGTTCACAAGAACAATTATTATGATACGAGTTTTGCGCTAAGGTTGTTTGATAAGGTTTAGGAAGTTTAGCTTTGAATGTAAGTGCACTTTTAGATTTGAGGCAAATTTCAGGTCAATGCCCCCTTTCCCACTGAGATATTGAATAAAATGAGATATGTTTTTACCACTAATACAAAATTTTTGCAAATGAATGCAATTTCTGTATTGGTGCAAGTATTATATTGCGCTGGTTTGACCCTTGGAGTAGAAAGAGATGGCCTTGGGAATCGAAAGTTCTAGGTGGGTAGTCTGACTTTTTAAATTTGAATGGAAACCTTACCACCTTAATTTATATGGGTAGAACCAAATTGACATCTCTCTTAATTTGAATAAGATAAAAAAGAAGCAACCTGCTTGCCTAGTTGTTGCAATGCACTTTAGTTGGTTGAGGAATTTGGAATTTATGAGGTGGAGATTTGTTTAAGTAGTAGTAGAATCAAATCTGAATGTAGGTGGACTACTGATGTGGACATCGGAGCTTGGAAAGTTTATCATAGATGTGACCCTCGATCTACGGCCATGATTGAGTCGATGTACTTCTGAATCGTATTATATATTTGTCTTTTATTATTTTATGTTGTATTTGTTTTTCCGCTTTTACCCCTTAAGGGAGGTTGTGTTTAAGCTTAGAGGGTATTGTCGTCTTTTTATTTTGAGTCATTTATACGAGGCTATATATAGCCCTCTTGTTCTCTTTTCATGCTTAATGATTGAATGATAAAATTTTTGTCATTGCTTGAGTTCTTTGTGAAATCTTAAGAATGCTTGGAGAGAGAGATCCCTAGGAGAGGGAATTTGGATCACCCACCAACCTTGGAGACGATCGGGTCGTGGTTCTTCTTCTTTATATATTTTCCTTTTCCACTCTTCACCTAGCCGACATATAGTCTCTCCAAACTCCTAAGCCGCCGGCCACCTAATCCCCCCACACCACCCGCCGGTTACATCCCATCACCACCCCCCACCGAAATCCCCACAAGCCCCCCAACCTAGCCGCTGGCCACACCTCTCCCATCTTCCCTCCACAATTCAAACCCCTTCTTGAATAATTTCCATAAGTGTTCACTCTTAATTTAGGAAGGTCTAATTTCAATTTTCAAAATAATTTGAATTTGAAAATTCGTTCCTAATTTAAGAAACCTATTGAGGAAAGTTACTAAATTAAATCTTATTTGAATTTCAAATTAATTTGGATTTAATTAAATCTTTCCTAATCCCTAAAGCCCAAATAAGAAATCCAAATCTCTCCCCCCACAATCCCCTCCTAACCCCTTGAAGCCGCTGGCCCCCCTATGGAATCCTTTGGTATTTGTTTCCAAAACCACTAAGCTCTCTCTTGGAAATAATTCCTATTTTCCCCACCTCTCTTTGGCCGAAATTTCCAAGAGCTCCACCTTCTTAATACTTTCCAAAAACTTATATTTAGCTTTGGAAATAAATCTCCAAACCCCTCTCTTGCCGCCACCCCTCCCTCTCTTTCTCTTCTTTAATTATTCTCAATCAAGGGATTAATTAAGGTGATGTTTGAAATACTTTCCCTCCACAAAATCTGAACCAAAGTTAATTCCCCCTCCCTCCTTCATTGGCCGGCATCCCTTCCTCCCCTCCACTTCAAAAATTTGCGAGAAACTTATTTCTCTCTAGTGGAGTTCGCAAGGAATCACATTGATCATCATCTACACACCATTCTTTCAAAGTCAATGAATGGCCGATCCGGAGCTTGACTACGGATTCTCTTATGACGAACAAGGCAACGTCAACATTCTCCACTCCACCTTCTTTGATTTCAATCCGGAAGTTGATCGTTCCATTGAAGAATACGTGGAACGCATCGTCTTCACGCTATCGGAGGCCATTGATGAGCAGCTTGCCAACACCCAGTGGCAAATCGTTTCCGAATCTTCCCAAGGGTGAACTTCTCCTTTTCATTTACTTTCCTAATCCATTGATCTTGCAGGTGGTGACAAGTCACAAAGAGCCGTACTTCGCCTTCTGCTGCTACTTAGTAAAAGTAGGAATGAGTGTGCTTTTTATGTTGATATCTTATTATTAGATTAGGGATTTTTGTTGAAAACTACTTAATTCGCATGTTGTTGAAGTTGTTTGTTGTTTTGATAATCCAAACTCTTATTATGTAATTTGGCCTAAACTTAATGACCGCTCTTACATTTTCTCTTTTTGTTTAAATAGATAATAGTCTTAATTGTTCTTGTTCTTTTCAAACTCATGCAAGTTTTTAACGCATTCATTTAAAAGCTTTGTAGTCTTGCATCAACTACTGTTTTTCTTCAAAATTGAAGTTTTTGGTTGGTTGGTTATTTTGTGGATATTGATTTGCTGTTCATTTTAATTTAAATGGAGTTTGTTGGAAATATAGGGCATAGAATGGTTGACAATAACGGGAGGGAAGGGAATGATGGTTTTACTATCATGTGAATGGTAATGTTACTATTCACATGGATAGTAGATTTATTGTTCATATTAATTTTTTTTTACTGTGCCATGTACAGTAAAACAACATCAAATGCAAGGAAACTTGGTATAAAGAGGATCATCGGTTGTATGGAAAGAGAAAAAAAACAAAGATTTAGGCTTCGTTTGGGAGAAGCAATAAAAAGCCGTCCCGAACGAAGCCTTAATTGGGGAAACATGAACTTAGACATGGTGATAGAACATGCTTTAGAATCACAATCCTGCACATCAGAATGATAGAATTAACCATAAGAACTTGCTTTTGATACCATAAAAGCACTGATCACGCTAATAGCCGAAGAAATAGGCGACCAGAGGTATTGTCACCGGGTGAGTCACAGCAATAACTCAGGAATGGTTAATAGCTACAGGCCAATGTGACAACATATAGCTTGCAAGACCTAGTGGAATGAAAATCAGTATAGTTTATTTACTTTTGTGCAGCTTTATCTTTCCTTGCAACAATGTCCACTTTTTCGTCAAAGAAGTATAACTGCTTAACTTCTAGGATTCATTTAGCTCGGAAATCATGTAATATTGATTATGGGTCTGTATTCTAACATAAAACATCATAAAAATATCAGACATTTAAATTTTATCGGTTTTATGATTTGCAGCTATTGTTGAAGGAATTTTGATTATTCCAATGTGAACACCCTTTTTTTTATTTTTTGAAATTAATATGAACACACATTTGATGTCTGAAACTAGCTATAGATGCTATAGGTCGTTTCTTTTATAAGTATTCGTTGATGAAAAAAAATTAAAAAAAAATACACAGTTCTGTTTAGTTCGTTATGGATTCCATGGCATATACTCAGTAGATTCTAACTAAATTCCTGCATTTTCTAAATTTCTTGGATCATGATTAAGGATATGAATCTTAATCTTATGCTACCATATGGTTATCTTAACTTCTATGCTTATTAAACTAATTTTTTGTTACAAAACCATGTAAAATTAGAAATTCCATGTCTTCTAATGCATTCAAAATATTAAATCTATAGTTTTTTTTTTTCTGACATTTTCTTATATTCTCTCATGATATAGAAGAATAGTATATTTTCCTGCAATCTCTATCATAGTAAATTTTCATCAGTCTTTGGGATTGCAATATGAAATATTGTTTGAAACCGTTTTTGTTAGGAGCATATCAAAATGATTAGTGATTGGATCATTGTACCACTTAGTTTTTGACCATCTGACTGATATCAACCCCTAGTTTTGCATTTCTGTATGCTTGTAAAACAAAAATAAGACTATCCTAAATTCTTCTACGAACTTGTCAAGGATAGAATAAGCAAATATTGTTCTCTTTTTGCAATTTTTGCAGCATTGGTTAATTTTTTTTCTGATTGCAATTATTGCTCTAACAAGTTTTTACTGAGAACCTGCGCATCCTTTCACATTCCATGTCTTTTTATGTTTGCATTATTGTAGAGAGCACTGCATAAGCTTACTCATACACTTTCTAAAGTCCAAATTTCACCCCACATTGTCTCGTTAACAGATTTGTGCCCATATTTGCTTCCTGTTTTAGGGGCTATTTGTTTTAATGTTTTCCTTGACGTAATATTATATTATTTATGGATATTAGGAGTTTGGCTTGATTTTCTCTCTAACATTGATATTTTCTAAATATCATTAGCCGTAAAGTTTGAGGTTACTAAACGAACTCTTTATGAAAGATGTCATCTCTAACATTTTTTTCTAGATAACAATAATATCTAAACAACATTGAACCAAAAAAACACTTAATAAGAAATGTTTGTAATTTAGATCCATACACCAGCGGGAGGCTTCTTAGCGAAGTGTTTCTATTCAGGTTTGCAAGTTTTTCCTCGAGGCGGTAGAGAAAAAACAGTATGGTTGGTTCTGGTCCTGCCCCAATGGCGGCAAAGACTGCCATTACAGGCATGCTCTTCCTCCTGGATATGTTTTGAAATCTCAAATGAAGGCCTTGTTAGAGGAGGAAGCAGACAAAAAACCAATTGAAGATGAGATTGAGGACCAGGTACTACACATTTCTGTTATTTTGAATGTTTTTTTTTCTATGTTCCTGTGCTCCCATGCATGCGTTAGTGCATATCTTTTTTGTTTATCCTTCTCGGTAGTTGTCTTGCTTAGCCTTGTTTGTGAAATACAAACCCATCATGTTTTGCACGTTAATTTTCTGTCCATGGTCCTCCAAAAGCCATCTTGAGGTATTTTCTCTTTGAAATATTATTTCCTTGAACTTGCTAATCAGCGTTGCTTGTATTTTAAAAGCGTGGAAAACTCTCTTCTTCCACTCCCATGACGCCTGAGCTGTTTCAACAATGGAAGGATAAGAAGATGGCTGAAAAGGAAGCTGCTCTTGCTGCAAATCAAGCTGAGAGAGCGAAAAATGATCGCATGAGGTAGATTATTTGCAATAGTTCTTCTCTACATTGGAAGATTGATCTTGCAGTGCATAATGATGATGTTCTAATAAAATGGTTTTCTTCTTAGTGGTCGTGAGCTCTTTCTTTCAGATGCTAGTCTGTTTGTGGATGATGCAGAGGCATATGAGAAATACCAAAGGGAAGAATCAGATAGTGAAGAGAAGGTAAGATATCATTCTTATATCATTTTGTTTTTTTTCGTTTGCTTTTAAAGTTTAATATTACTTCCTTTTCGTGATCTCGAGACTATTCAATCATTTGCAACTGTCTTATTAATCTGTTCCTCGTTATAATTATCAAGATATCTTGTTTTCCATTGCTTCACTCTCTGATCTACAACAACAAAAGATTCAATGCTTTTTTCATGTGTTTCGTAGAAGTATAGTGAAGATTGGCCCAATCTTTCTTTGGACTATACTTTTTATACTGTGTCAAGTCATGGAAAATTATTATGTGCGGAGACCGGACGTAGAGATACGTCCGGACACCCACTTAAAATTTGACACGTGCAGTGCACTTTAGTTGCGTTTTTTTGTGTGTTTTACCTGCACTTTAGTTGCACCTTGACTGCTCTTTTGTTGCGCTTTTTTACCGTGCTTTACTTGCGTTTTGACTACTTTTTTGTTGTGCTTTTTTTACTGTGTTTTACTTGCACTTTGGGCTTTTGATGTGCTTGGCTTAAAGTCCCGCAGACACATTAAATATATAAAGTAAAAAATAAATCGAATGTATCCACTCAATTTGTCAGCATTTTATTGGAGTCGTGACGTACCTCTACAGTCTCCGCACCTAATAATTTTCCGTCAAAGTCATACAATCTTTTAAGATCGTTTCCAAATTACAAAGCTGCAGGTTAAAATGACTAAAACTGGCGAACCGAGCACTTCAAAACCTGTCGATAAGAATGAAATTCTCGCCGAGGATGATGATGACGACCTCGACATTGATGAATTGAACGAACTGGAAGCAACCTTGTCAAGAACTACACTTGAAATCCGTGAACCGGGCTTGCAGGCCTAATCAGTACAGGTTTGCATCTCTTCTGGAACAGGATCCATCCCTCAAAGTAACAAGCAGTTCTTGCTTATGAGGCCATACTGTTCTAAAATCATGTAGGCTTTCAAGCATGAGATAATTAGTCTAAGAGCTGTGATTGACAAACGAATAGTTCTGATTGACAAATTTCATTCGTGAGCTTGCTGTTGAAAACAAATCAAAATCTATTCAGGAGCTGAACTCATCTTATTTCCACATTGCTTTTTGAGAACCAATATGTAGAAACATTTGGGTTGGCAGCGTAGAGGAATTGGTTTTTTGGTAAATGAACTGGGTGTTATTTTGAAACATGTTATACTCTTGAAACTTACTTCTTGTCTGCGATTATGCATTTTAAATTCACATTTTACACACTGTTCAGTTTTCTAATTAACAAGATTTCATTCATTTGGGACGAACTGCTTCTTAAAATAATTTTTTAGCACAAAATATTAAAAATTTTATACTAGAAAGCCGTCCCAAACGAAGTCTAAGATTTTGTTTGGGATGATTTTTACCACTTCTTAAAGCAGTTTTCTAGTACAAACTTTTTAAGAAGCATTAAGAAAGCTGTCCCAAAAGAAGCCTAAGTATGCTTCAGATGGCATTCTGTTTTATTTGTTCATTTTATTTGAACAAGGTCTTTTGCATGTGAGGTGAATTAATCCATTAATCTCCTGATTAATTTAATCTCAGAGTATTACATTTCTCTAATTAAATCTCAATCCTTCAATTAGATAAAATTAATCTCAATTTTGTCTCTCGGAGATCATTTGAGATCAATTTTATATAGTATAGAAATTAAATTATAAAAATGTGATTCTCTTGGATTAAATTAGTCATATCTAAATAATCTAGAAACTATCTTGAGCTTTTTATAAATATTAATTGTGGTGGTGATGGGATGAGCTCTCAATGGTGTCCCATTTTAAAATTTTTGATAGCTTGGTGACTTCATCTCGGTGTAACAGAAGACTCGGAATTTGATGAAAGGATTCATATAGTTGATCTCACGCAGTAGGATAAATGCTCGGAAATAAATGGTCGGAAAATTGTGTGCATATGACTAAACATCATTAACATTGTATACAAATAACTTTAAAACCTCTCTTCAATGATTGCATGTGTGAAGGATCTCCATTCATATCATCAACAAATTTTAAAGAGTACTTTGTCCTCTGTGAGGGTGATTGGGTCAATCATGCAAGTAGTCTGCCCACTTATGTGATAGCCACTAGTTGCCTTCAAACAATTAGCGGCTATCATATAAGTGAGTGCTTACTTACATGGTAGATTCACATTCTATGAGAGGCAAAATTATTTTAATCTTTATATTTATATACTGTAAGAACTAATTTGGCTAGTTCAATTGAATTGGCCCCTAACTAAATTAGACAGGCAAACAAGACTGTTGATGGGCAAGTCGAGCGGACAACGTGCGTGCGTGAGCAAGCCAGCGCGAGTTGGATCGTATGATCGAGTGAATGGAAACGTGTGGGAGTGAAAAGTAACAACTCCTTATGGGAGAGATCTTCGTTTCACTTACTCCAGTGAAAACAAAAAGTTTGAGAAGCTCAGTGTCGAGAGGAAACCGTGCTGAGAGGAAGGAGGTAGGTTTTCAACTTTGCTAATTTATTGTGCAAAATTCTTCCATAATTTAAATATAAGAAAGAAATATATGATTCAAATGAACGCAGAGGAAAGCAGCAGTATCTGATTTTCATTAGGCAGGAAATTCATTCAAGAAAAAAACTAGTGGGTAAAAGTTTCATTTCAATGAGAAAGGAGGAAAGATTTGATTTATTGATGTAATTAAATTTAATTTATAATATTTATCTTTCAATCACATTATAAATTATCAGTGGATGATGATCAATGCCTTTGAAGTTATTCTTAAAGATACCAAATTAATTTAATTTTATTGTAATGATATTTACTTTGTTAAAACTATTCATCAATGATTAATTAATGTAATTTCAAATTATTTGGAACATTGGAGGATTAACCTGTTGAGATTAAATATATATTAAGAATAATAATGCAAGTTATGTAACTGTTTCCACGGACTTCCGACAGCTTCCTGGTGGATTTGTTTCCAATTGATTTTAATAATTTGTAATTTCATTAATTAATAATTTCATAGCTTTTTTTTAATTAATTATTAATTTAATAACTTTAATATAATTTAAATAATTAAAATTTAGTTGTTAAAGTAATAATTAGTTTAATTATTTATTAATAACTTTAATATTAATATTAATAAGTTTAAATTATTATTCTATTAATAACTTTAATATTAATAATATTATTAATATCTTTAACTTATTTTATTAACAAATTTAATACTAATACTAATAACTTTTTCTTTAATTATTTATTATTTTAATTTTTGTTAATTTATTTATGTACTTATCTTATTTAAATATAAAATCGTTTAATATTAAACGGGCAAGTCTAGCGGGCTGCTAACACTATAGGAAAATTGTCAATTACCGGCAGTTTTTTCCGGCGGTTAGCATAAAGTTTTCGGTGGTTTTGAAAACTACCAGCAGTTTTCTGACAGTTTTGTTAACCGTCGGTATAAACTGCATAGGAAAATAAATTGCGGTGGTTAATTTCCAGCAGCTAAATTTTTCGGTGGCCAACACAGCCTGTAATTTTTGACAGTCCTAGCGCCGACGATTGCTAGTTAATTACCAGTGGCGTACCAACCATCTCAAACATCAATTTTGTCAGCAGGTCAGTCGCCAGTTAATTGCCGGTATTTACCGACGGCTATATTAAAATTCTGCCAGTTAAAATAGCGCGTTGGCAGGCAAACGGGCAAGTCTAGCAGGCTGCTGACACTATAGGAAAATTGTCAATTACCGGCAATTTTTTCTAGCGGTTAGCATAAAGTTTTCAACGATTTTGAAAACTACCAGCAGTTTTCTAACAGTTTTGTTAACCGCCTGTATAAACCGCGTAGGAAACAAATTGCGGTGGTCAATTTCCGGCGGTTAAATTTTTCGGCGGCTAACACCGCTTGTAATTTTTGACAGTCCTAGCACCGACGACTGCTGGTAACTACTGGTGGTGTACCGGCCATTTCAAACATCGATTTTGTCGGTAGGTCAGTCGCCAATTAATTGCCGGTATTTACCGACGGCTATATTAAAATTCTGCCAGTTAAAATAAGCTGTCCAGCATCGATGTTTTCAACTGCCAAACCGCTGGTTAGCTGACGGAAACATGTAGCATTTTCAAAAAAATTTGACAGCCCCCCTCTATTACACCAATTTTCACAAACCTGCACAGAATTTAAAACATATATAACACATAAAGGCAACACGCCACTATAATCAATCCACATAAATGAAGTCTAAAATCAACATAGCATTCAATATCAAAACACAATCAACAAATCATATTTGCATAATCCAAAGTCCACAATAACCAATAACTAATATTTAAAACAAAAAGAAATACATATTTTATACAATAAACATAATATATGAAACTAACAGTTAGATGTTCACAATACACCAAAAAGATCATCAAACAAATAACATCACTAATTGTCCTCCATGTCCTCGCTGCCTTGTGATTCATGTGTCGACTCTTGCTCTTTCTTCTTCTGATTTTCATCTCCATATGATCGCAGGAAAACGGGCAAGCCTAGCGGGCTGCTGACACTACATGAAAATTGTCAATTACCGGTAGTTTTTTATGGCGGTTAGTATAAAGTTTCTGGCGGTTTTGAAAACTACCAGCAGTTTTTTGGTGGTTTTGTTAACCGTTAGTATAAACCGCGTAGGAAAAAAATTACTGTTGTCAATTTCCGGCGGCTAAATTTTCTGGCGGCCAACACATCCTATAATTTCTATCGGTCCTAGTGCCGGCGACTGCTAGTTAATTACCGGTGACGTACCGGCCATCTCAAACATCGATTTTGCCGGTGGTTTAGTCGCCGGTTAATTGTCGGTATTTATCGACGGCTATATTAAAATTCTGGCAGTTAAAATAAGCTGTTCGGTATCGATGCTTCCGACAGCCAAACCGCCGGTTAGTCGACGGAAACCTATAGTATTTAAAAAAAAATTGACAACCCCCCATCTTCCCCCGCCCCTCTATTACACTAATTTCCACAAAATTGCACAGAATTTAAAATATATACAACACATAAAGGCAACACGGTACTATAATCAATCCACGTAAATGGAATCCAAAATAAACATAACATTTAACAACAAAACACAATTAACAAATCATATTTGCATAATCCTAAATCCATAATAAACAGAAATAAATATTTAAACAAAAAAAATGCATATTTTCTACAATAAACATAACATATGAAATCCACAGTTAGATGTTCAGAATACATCAAATAAATAACAGCACTAATTATCCTCCGTGTCCTCGTTGCCTTGTGATTCATGTGCCGACTATTGCTCTTTCTTCTTCTGATTTTCATCTCTATAGGATCTTAGGCAAACGGGCAAGCCTAGTGGGTTGCTGACACTACAAGAAAATTATCAATTACCGACAGCTTTTTTCCGGCGGTTAGTATAAAGTTTCTGACAGTTTTGAAAACTACCAGCAATTTTTCGACGGTTTTGTTAACTGCTAGTATAAACCATGTAGGAAACAAATTGTGGCGGACAATTTCCAGCGACCAACATAGCCTGTAATTTTCATCGGTCCTACTGCCGGCGACTGCTGGTTAAGTACCGGTGACGTATCGGCCATCTCAACCATCGATTTTGCCGGTGGCTTAGTTGCCGGTATTTATCAACGGCTATATTAAAATTCTGGCAGTTAATAAGCTGTCCGGTATCGATGTTTCCGACAGAAATCTGTAGCATTTTCAAAAAAAAAAATGACAGCCCCCCTCTCTATTACACTAATTTTCACAAACCTGCAGAGAATTTAAAATATATATAACACATAAAGACAACACGCCACTATAATCAATCCACATAAATGGAATCCAAAATAAACATTACATTCAATAGCAAAACATAATCAACAAATCATATTTGCATAATCCAAAATTCATAATAAGAAGAAACAAATATTTAAACAAAAAGAAATGCATATGTTCTACAATAAACATAACATATGAAATCCATAGTTTGATGTTCATAATACATAAAAAAGTTCATCAAACAAATAACATCTCTAATTGTCCTCCGTGTCCTCGCTGCCTTCTGATTCATGTGTCAACTCTTACTATTTCTTCTTCTATTTTTCATCTCTATAGGATCGCAGCTCTGCATGTATCTCATGTTAAATCTTTTTCATCTCCTTTATCTTTCGCGTTAGGGCTGTAACCATCTGGCTAATAGT